GCCATAACTACCAGATGGGGTTCTCCAAAGGAAATGTCTACTTTCATTCCCCAAAGAACACCTGAAATTAGAAAAGCTAAGGACTCCTCATGAACACTGTTTCCAACCATTGCTGCTCTGCACAACACACAGCATCCTCTGGCTCCTTGCCCACCATCTTCCTCCAGGGTCTTTCAACTCTAAGATGCAGAGTATGGTACTTGAATTTTTCCAAGAGCTGCATTTTCTTCCAGGCATTTAACCTTACTGCAGAGTCACTTTTTTTTTTTTTTCCCCCTGAGCAAGGGAAGAGAAGCCCTCAATCATCTGGAAAAAAGATGATAGCATCTGCTTGGGGATTCCAACTAGATGTTTTACTGCAGCTTTTCACAAACTGATTATATTTAAAGCTCCCTTGGGGCATGGGGGCTGGGAAGAAAGAAGCTTTGGAGAAGACCTTTGTTGGCATGAGTAAAAAACTGCTCAGACCTCCTGGGGGAACAAGCTTGTTTAAATGCCAGCAATGAGTATCCCCAAGTGCGTGTGCACACACAATATGACTGGAGTTTTAAATTTCATCTCCTGCTTGCAAAGAGTCCTGAAAGAGTTAAACTGTTCCAGGCAAAGGCCTGTGCTTTTTCTATCTAAATGCTCCAGATGGAAATTACAAAATTTCACTTCTCAGCTATGTGGTACATACACACTGTTCTCCTAAGACATTTAAAAAAAAAAAAAAAAAAGACAAGACCCCTAATGTTCTCAAGAAAGAAAATTTGACTGCTCAGCATACAGTGCCACTCTGTTTCAGACCATTTCTCCTGGAATATTTCCATTAACTGTCAATCTCAAGTTTCCTGGGAGACCAAAAACTCAAGGTATGGAGTAAGAGTAAAGGAAAAGGGTCTTAAATAAGGAAAGGACAATAGCCAGGACTGTAAACAGTGATGCGAATTCACCCAAATACCACCCAGACTAACAGCTCTGGTAACCATGCCCTGCACTTTACCACCTCACTGCTCCAATCCCAGCAAAAAAGCTAACAGGCTAGAAGCCAAAGGCCTCAGGATATGACCATGACTCTGACAAGGGTTGTAAAGAATTTCCAAAGATTAATGTACAGTCAGGTCCTACAAACTACACATTGAAAATATTGCGGGTAAACTAAAAATAATACAATAAAAAACAATGCAAATTTTAAAAGCAATATAACTATATAGTATTTACATTAAGTAATATCCAGATGATTTAAAGTATATGGTAGGATATGTGTGCGTAGATTATATGCAAATACTATTTAGGGACTTGAGAATCTGCAGATTTTGGTTTCCTGGGGGAGGCCATCCTGGAATCAATGCCCTGTGGATATTGAGGGACAACTGTATATGAAAGTGCTTTGTAAATTGGAAAGAGCTGTGTAAAAAAGACTAAGAATATAACTGCTTTCAAATCAGACATTGAAAGGCATGAACTTTCAAAGGAATCTGAACACCCACAAACCAGAAACAATGATGGTTTTTAAGAATGCTACAAGGCAGGCTGATTAAGGAGGCACACCCCTCATAAAACCACACTGAGGTAGGGTTGGGGCTGTAGCCTCAGAAATTCTTCAGGGTACATACAAGCAGGTGTTTTAAGGGGAGGCAAAAATCAAGGGATAGACAGGGTTCCACACAAGGGGTCCCATTAGATGAGGACACCATTTAGAGTCCACTTGATTTAAACCATTCTAGACTGAAAAGCAGGACCCAAGATTCAGTCAGAGACATACAGAACTATAATGGCTAATAATTAGACAGTTTACCTACTCATTTGACAGAAAAGGAAACTGATGTCCAGAGGGCTTAAATGACTGACTTAAGATACCTTTTGTTATTGCTAGATAAACTTAAACTAGGACTCAAGTTTCATTCCTAGACTTATTTCCCATCACTTAATAGCTGGCACTTTGGGAGTGAATACGTAATACAGCCTTAATAATGAGTAAGAAGGAAGGCTCACTAACAGAGAAACAGATCTTACCATTATTGCACACTCATTAGGGCCAGATACTATTCTAAATAATTTATATACACTGTCTCATCAACTCCTTACAACAACCTTAGGAAATGCACACTATTTTCCCTAATTTCCAAATTAGGAAACTGAGGTTCAGACAAGTCATGTAACTTGCCTGAGGTGAAAGGCAAGCATGTGGCACACCAAGATTTGAACATGAATCCCTCTGACTCTGAAAACTGTGTTCTTAACCACCGAACCAAACTGCCTGGATATTATAGCAATTTTCTTTTTTTAACCTGGCATCTGTAAGAGAAGTAAGTCTGGCAATACCATGAGTCCCATATAACACAAAAAGCTGACACTCAATAATTCTGACCTATGGCCTCCAGCTGGTGGGGGGCAGAGCCAACCCAAAACCCAGCTCCTTTGTCTACAAATTATTTGCTCTTCCCTAGAGAGCATAGGTTCTAGAATGTAAACTCTATGAGGGTGGGAACTTTTTCTTCTTTACTGCTATATCACCAGCCCCCCGAACATATAGTAGGCACTCAGAAAATAGCTAATGAATAAAGGAATGAAGTCAAGCTGCCATGGTTTGGCTGTGTGACCTTGGAAAGGTTTCTTATCCTCTCTAAGCCTCAGTTTCCTCATGTAGTAGATGGAAGGTGAGAATAATAACCACTTCCTGGATTTATGTGAGGATTAGACCAGACCATTCATATAAAGGGACATAATGAGCCCTCAAACTGTAATCTATTATTATGATTATTACCACTATTACTAATTTACACACTTGGGTTCCTTAAGGTATTTTTTATTTTCTTCCCACTCTGTACTATGATGTTGCATAGGGAAGTGGGAGTTGGTAAACCTGCTACTAGGTTCAGATCTGCCACCACCTAGCTGTGTGACCTTGGAAAAACCTCTTCAGTTCTCCGTATTCTGCTCAGCTATGGGACTAAATGAAGAACTAAACTATTCAAATCAGTTCCATAAGTATTCACTGGGCACCTTCTCTGAGTAAGACATCATGCTCGGCCACCTATACAATTCTATGATCCTGAATAGTGTCAATGGAAAAATATCAGAGAAACGCAAAACAGTCCCCTGCTGTGGCAAGGTTGAAGAGAAAACCCAAATCGGTGATTGCATTACATCATCTCAACAAGCAATGTTTGTAAATATACAAAGTGTTTAATATTGAGACACTTAAGAAAAATCCTTTACCAATAAAAAATTGGCAGATACGGTTCTATTAACACCTATCAGTCCTGAACCTTCCAAAAAATAAATACATAAAAATAATCTTGCTCTTTAGTCAAATGGCATGCTTCTGGAGAGAAATCTGGGAAGATCAAAGTTATTAGCACTCCCTATGGCAGCAGTTTAAGAATAGGATGTGTAAAAAAAACAAACAAAAAAAAAGAATGACATATCTGGTTAAAACTGCAGGGGGGATTCCAGGAGCAGAATGCAGTGCATCTGGACAGGACATGGAGGCCAGTGGCCTATTGTTTACAAAAACAGGCCCAGATTATGATCAGTGACAAGAGGCCAAGACCCCAATTATAACTCACAACCACACCTCTCTCAATCCCAGTTCAGTTGAAGCTATCCATCAGTCAACTCCCCCATCTCTGTAATAAACCTACTAATATTTGCAGCCAAGTGGATATAAGGTCCCTCAGGGCACCTCCAGCATTGACCAAACTGATGACATAAAGATCCTTAAGGCACAAAGGGGACTTTAGACTACCTTCCAACCTTCCAAGAAATAAGGGAGCTGCCCATTTGAAACTCTACCTGTATCCCCACCCCAGGCAATCATTAGAGGGGAGAGATGGCCCTTCTCAAGTCCTCTATGATAGGAAAAGGTCTCCTTGCACTGGTGCAGGGAAAGAAGGACGGGCCCCTCCCTCTGTACTCTGAAACAAAGGAAAACCCAGAGCTTCAACCATGTGGTGTAACATTCAAGGCCACCCACCTCTCTCGCTCCAGAGCTAAGGTCTCAGTGGGTTGGAGCTACATGGCTCTTTCCACTGACTGACCAGGAAGAGACAGTGCCTTGCACAAATACATGCTTGGGCTCTTTAACAGACAGGATCTCTCCTAAGGGAATTTGCTGGTTAAAAAATGGCTATCTGAGTATGGACTCTGATTCACAAGCCAAGTCAGACAGTCGGCATGAGAAGACAAGTCACCTGGTTTCTCCAGGTCCACATTTTGCTTTACCCTTCACATTTTTGCAGAGAGGAAAATGGGGCTTTAAAAACATGTTCTCTGGAGCAGAGGGTGACAACACAGAAGGGTTAAACAATTATGTCTTCCCATTTTCCAGAATCAGCACCAACCAGCAACCCTAACATCATCCCAACTCCATTCAGATTGAGGTGACGGTGGAGACTGGGTGTGGGTGGCCTTATTCTTTCTGTTATCTGATCTCTGATTGTATTCAGGCCCACCAGGGATCAGGCAGATGCACCCAAGGTGGCTATGGACTTTCAGTGTTCATTGCCATAGCAAATCTGATGTTTTAATATAGTGCATCAGAAAAACCCCACCTCTCTCCCAGAGCCCTCCAAATGGCACACTATTTCCAGGTTGTCATTCTCTGTATGGACTTCTATTCAGTCTCTGAAATAAACGTCCAAACACCTGTCAGATTTCAGTTGTCCTTCAAGGAAACCTGACCCAGACACCAGGAGGCAAATTGTGCCTTTCTCTCCAATAACCTCCTGCCCCTCCCCCCATCCTGTCCAGCTTGGAGGAAAAGGCTGACAAAATAATAATGGTCAGCCCCACAGAAACATTCCTAAAGCCCACTCCAAAAATTCCTTTCCAGCACCTGTGGCCCCTGGCACTGCCCATCCTTTGGAGGTTCAGACCCACCTATGAAACCACCTCTGGGGTCAGCCTGCCTCATCTGCTCCGCCCAAAGAAACGAACAGTCTGCAAATCAGGGTGGAAACACGCCTCACCAGTCCACAGAGCATTTGCAGTGTGCTATTTTTCAAAGCCCTTACCTTTGACCTGAGTATCGTACTCTGCTATGATCTCCTTATCCTTTTTGAATTTGGCTGGAGACGTCATGTTTTCCTTCTTTCTTCCAAATTCGAACTGTGAGTTGATAGATCCACGGGAAAAATCCAACCACCGAAATCAATACCTCCAAGATCGCTTCTCCTGAGAGCAGAAGGGGCCCCCGCGGTGGTCTCCAGCGCTCCGTGGAGCGCGAGCTGCGGAGTGGGCAGGCGGCTACGACGGGCACATGCAGACGGTGGGCGCTGGGGCCGAGTGGGGCGGCTGCTGGTTCCTGTGCTAGAGCCGGAGCCGCAGCCTCAGCATTAGCCGGGAGAACTGCAGCGCCCGGAGGCTGGCCTGGGGTCTGACATCAACGACACAGGCGGGGAGTGGAAGTCCTTCCGCACAACATGGTGTGGGGGTGCGGGGGTGTGGACGCGCCCAGCTGTGTCCCCGGGAGGGAGTGGGTGCGTATCGGGGTGCCGGGGGAGGGCTGGGCGTCCTTCGCGGTTTTTTGTCGTAGAGGCTCGAAGATGCTGCAAATCAAATTCCAAACGGGAGCCGCAGCAGCGCAGACTGGATCGGAAGTCGTTTGCTCCGGTTCACTTGCCTGTAAATGCAGGAAAAGGGGGAGGGGGCGATCAGCCAGAGCGCAGATCCTAATCGCGGCGGGGGTGGCGTAGGGGATGTCGTTGCGATCCCGGCCTGGGCCCATTCATCTCGGTCAAACGCCGCCCGGCCGGTAGAGCCAGGCGCTGCGAGGTGGGGAGGAAGGAAGCTCCCTCCGGATTTTGTTTTAAGCCTGAAAGAAAACACTTTGGAGCAGTTGCCTGCGCGGGCTCCGGGCGGGGACTGCGGCGGGAACACGGGGCTCCGGGCGGGGACTGCGGCACCTCAGTGGCCTCCAGAGCCCCGACAGCGCTGGGCAGCAGCCAGCCCAAGGGGGCCCTCCCGGCCCTGCCTCCAACGCGGCCCCCGACTAGGGCACCTCCCTGGACATCAAAGGGGATCAAAGCCAGGGAAGGACAAGCCACCCGGGCACAACTTTTCTTCCCCTCCCGCCCCTCCTCCCAGTTGTTTTGTTTTTGGTTACTAGCTTCTCTTGGCAGCAAAATGTTGGGGGGGTGGGAATCTGCAGGAAAAAGCCTGCTCGGCACGGGACACATGCAGGAAAACAATGTGGTCGGCAGAAGCAGGAAATGGGATAGAGGATAGGGTCGAGGCCGGGAAAACCGCGGGGCGGCGGGCGGAAGGCAGCCGTCGCCTCCTCCAAGCCAGGGACAAGAGTGACTCTAAATGCCACCTCCCATATGTTTTATCCTGCAAGCCCAAAGATCCTGATACCGCACCCAATCCCAGGCGGAGGGTGTGGAGGGAGGTCGGTGAGGGTCGCATTCCCAACTTCTCGCACCAGGAGGTGCCCGAGGAGACCCCGCCCCGGCAGGGCCCGGAAAGCGGGAAGGACGCGAGCGCAGAGGCTGGCGTGTAGCTGCACCCCGCGTGCCGCAGCGGCGACCCTTCCTCCTTGGTCGCCCCTTTCCCTCTGGGCGCCGGGAGGAGGAGACCCCTGCTGGTGTCTCCCACTTCCCGCGGCTGGAGGTAGGGCTCCGCGGACCGAGGAAGCGAGGGAACAGAGGCGGCGTGGTTCCGCGGGCAGGAAGCTGGGAGGCGGGCGTGCGATGGGGTCCTGAGGCTAGGAGAGAGCCCGGGGACAGCTGGAGCTGCACACGCCTGGAAGGCGGGAGAGGGCTGCCTCGGGGGCGAGAGGGAGCTGGGGGGCTACCGTGGGCCGCGATGTCACATGAAGCGCGAGGACGCTAGTTAACGACTTTGGGGACCGAGATGTGAACTGGGAATGGAAGTGGGTGCAGAAGGGCCCATCGGGACGGGCCGGGGGTGGGGCACGGGAAGAACCCCGGAAGCTATGCGGAACACCCATCCTTCTGGGTCCGAGGCTGG